AGACTCATTACGGGCTGTGAATGACTACAATTCACAGCCGTTGAAATAAAGAAAAAAGGGTTTTGGGACTAACATGTGTTTGTTAGTGTCTCAATACGCCTTGGTCAAATCATTTAGTAGATACTAGAATTTTTTTAAAAAAAACTTATTTTCTTTGCTTGACATCCAAAATGTAGTAGATCCACACAGGCCACACCTAGTTTCCCTTTTTCACTTCTCGTTTATTCCTTCCTTTCTATGTAGCAGATTAAGAGGGTGAAGGTTATGTTTTCAAGCAACAGCTGAAAATTGAAACAAGCAAGTTGTTTCATAACCCCCAAAGTTCTGCAACAAAGGACAAAATGATTCACTTCCTCAAATTGGTAACTGCTGTCTATTTAGCTATCTGTGAACCCGCTTCATAATAGCATTTACAGGATGGTTTTAATTCTTCCCACCCCCTTTTTTTTTCAATTTACTTGCATAAATTACAAACACTTTTCATCCAAAAAAAAAAAAAATTACCAGCATGGGATAAAAGGGAACAAGCTAAAAAAAAAACAGAAAAAAATGAGAAAATGCAACCTTGGCATTATTACATTCCAGATTGCAGGCGACGGAGAACCATGGAAACAAATCACCAGATCACAAGAGGAAGAACCGTAACAAAAAAGTCTGTGATTTAATGTGTCGATCAAGATTCTCAGTCATCCAGGTAAGAATTGTCTTGGATGTTGAGTCCGTTGCAACTGGATTTCTTTCCTTCTTGGTTGGAAACGTTTCGCTGCTTATCCAGGTAGAATCCGAGCGGACTGAAGAAGCTACTTGGGCAGCGAGAGGTTTCGAGCAAAAAAGAAAAGAAGTCCAGTTGCCATGATCCAACTTCCAGAGGTCTTGGATGAAATGTGCACCAGGAGAAGGAAGGGATGGTCTCCCAGGAAGCAGACAACATATTATAGACAGACGCCCAAATTAAGAGACTGCATAGTTCAAAGCCGGATGGGGGAAAAGGTTCGGGGCAGCCACATCCTAGATCGGTGGTGGCTAACCTTTTTCGGTTCCCATGACGATAATTGCGCGCACACTTGCTCCCATGCCAGAACCCAGAAGGCAATGCATGCTGGGGGCCCCTTGCCCACTCTGCATGTGCACGCAATACCCTCACACGCTGTTCTGACCCAACCGGGTTTCCAAAGAGCAAACAGAGACAAAGGCAGCAGCCCCCACCTTTTAAGGTTTATTAGCAAATTCTGTTCTGAAGGCTGCTACCCACTAATTAGCTCCGACAAGAAAGAGCCTTGCCAAATTGTTTGTCAAGGCTGCCAAAAACCCAGCGATAAGAACTCATTTTTCAAGATTCTCCAAACACGAACAGAGATGTCCACCAGTTGAGCTTCAGAGCTTCTTTGCTGTCTGCAAAGAACGCTTTTTTAAAACCTGGCTTTTAGCCTCTTGAGGGAGGGGCCATTACCTTGCAGCCTTACTCCTGAGTCGTCTGTGCTGCTGTAATTGTTCTTTCCTCCGAGCAATCCTTCGTGCACGTGCCCTTGGCACAGAGCTTGATTGGATTTGACTGTGTCATCTTTTGGGCCACAAGTCATAATTAGGGCCTACCAATATTTGCAGCTCAGGGTTGAACTGGGGGTGGTCTTTGGTGCTCTGAAGAGATTTGTGGGTTTCTTGCAGATGTTTCATGATGTTACCTAGTTTGGTAATGTAATGTCTGTAAGAAAACCAACAAGCTCAGAGCGTACCAAGAACCCCACAGTATATCTATTACGTTAGATAGCTTTAGTTTGTCAAGGTTCTGTCCATTAAGTGTAAGCAAATAAACCATTGGGCTTGACTGGATTTCACTGTGTCATTTTGGGGCTTGGGCCTGACAAGGCACAACCAGGGCCTACCAAGGTGAACCAGCTCCCAAAACCAGCTCACTTAGTCTTCAAACATTTCTGAAGGCTAACACAGGGTCAGGGATCTGTCAAATCCAAGGAGGAAGATTGTATCTCAAGATAGGACATAATGTCCCTTATGCCAATGGCCAGAAGTAACAGAAGTTTACTTTGGACAGACAGCAGTAAACATAGAAGAGCTTTGAACCTGACCCAACAACCCTCAGAAGAGTCAAGATGGCAGATGCTATCTTGCAGATTTTGGCTACTTCATACCACAAACACCGCTGTCTTTGGCACACTGAAATGCTCTTGCTTCAGTTACCCTGGATGGATTTAATATGGTATAGAATTTATTTCCCGCAAGGAGAGGGCAGGTGTGGGCTTGTATAGATTACTAAACACACATCCTTTTTTTCTGTTCATTTTAGAGAAACGTTTAAAGATCTTTTCCTGTATCATATTTACAAGCTGGAACAAGTTTAGCTTTATGTTCTTGTTTCTGATTATAATCTTATATCCCACTATCGTAAAGTCTTGCTTATAAAATTCACCGGGCTTGACTGCCCGTAAAAATTTAAAAAGATCTCCCAAAGCCTAACTTATAAAATGGCATTCTTATATTTCTGTCCATTCAGTCTTTAAGGCATCTAGTTTCAAAGTTGTTGTTTTTTGTTAAACTTATTTTTAATTAAACCTTTTGGAAAATAAAAAAGTACAACACAAATAAGCAAATAAGAAATACGAAAAACATCTAAAGAGTTGCAATTTTCCACTATATCAAATATTCAATACATTATTTTTGGGCTGAATATCATGAAATACCCATCATCACAAAGTTTGAACCATAGCTTGCTTATTTCAAAGGAAGATAGCATCATAAGATGTGTATGGGGAAATGTACAGTATTCCTACGAATTGTGGAATTATGTCCAAATCTGGCATTGTTTAAGGTTGTTGTTTATTTAAATTTATCATTCTCTTGGCAGCATATGATTCGTCCCATTATTCATGGAATAGGAGTTTTCTAGAAGGACCTTAACAGAATCCCAGAGGGCTTCTAGTCCAACCGCCGCACCTGTACCATTTCAGACAACCTCTTAAAAACCTCCAGTGATGGATCATCCACAACTTCTGGAAGCAAGCTGTTCTACTTATTCTGTAGAGATTCTCCGTCATCCAGGTCATGGTTATCCCAAAAGTATTTTTTTCAGGAGGCAATTATACTTTTTTTGTTGTTTTTTAAGGAGTTTTGCTTCTCATCCAAGAAGCTTCTTCAGCTCCGACTGGATGGTAGGGAGGGGAAGGATTTATACTCCTTGTAGACTGCTGGTCATTTGCATCCTTTTGGGGGGTTGTTGAGGCCAGTTGGAGGTTTATCTGTGTCTTCAGGGTCACCTGAGAAGTCTGTAGTCTGCAATTGTTTTGGGTTTTTTTTTGTTCCTGGAAATCCATTCCTACTCCCACACCATCCAGTCAGAGCTGAAGAAGCTTCTTGGATGAGAAGCGAAACGTCTTCAAAAGAAAAAACAAGAAAGTCCAGTTGCCTCCTGAAAAAAAGCACCTTTTGGGACAACCGTGACCTGGGTGACTGAGAATCTCTACAGCTATGCAATTTGGGGTGAACACCCTTCGGATGGTGTGGAAGTAGGAATGGATTTCCAGAGGAAAAAAAATAATAATTGCAAGCTACGGGAACCATTAAAACTACTCAGGTGACCCTGAGGACACAAATAAATGTTGCACTTATTGTTTCCTCAACCTTGGTTAGCTTGGAGGTGTGTGGACTTCCTTCCACTCCCACAATTCCAGCAAGGTGTAGACTTTGAACTCTCACTTTCAGCCCTTGGGGGTGTGTGTGGGGAGGAATGCTCTTGAGACACAAACTTTCCTTAGCACCCTTCCTTGAGTCAAAAGCTTGGATTGATTTCTTTATCCGTATGCCCGTGTAAATATATATTTTCCCTCCAGCAGCTGCAACCTTGCTGCCATCCACCCCCATAACACTCCTGGACACACAAACACACACACACACCACGGAGAGAGTCTGCTTTGGCACCAAGGACCCTTTCCTGCACTAACACGGGCCACGAAAGCGGAGCCTAACGCCCGAAATCCGACTCCGGACATCAAAGGGGCTTCTCCAATTCAACTTTCTCCTCGGCGAAAAAGGCAGCCGGGGAAGCGGTTCTGAGGAGGGGGCCACGAAGGCAAGGAAGACAACCCCCTCCCCAATCTCTCTCCCTCCTTCTGTCTTTCTCTCTCACACACACACACACACATCTCTCTCTCTACCTCTCTCTCTTTCTATCTTTCTCACCCCCCTCTTTCTCTGCTCTCTTTTTTCTTTCTTTCTCTCTCTCACACACACTCACACACAACCCTCTCACTCACTGTCTAGCTAGCTCTCTCTCTCCCTCACTCTTTCTTTCTCTCTTTTTCACTCTCTCTCTCTCACTCTTTCTGCATCCCTCTCTCTACTCTCTCTTTCTCCACTCTCTCTCTCCCTTTCTCTTTCTTTCTCCCTTCCCTGCTCTTTCCCTCCCTCCATTTATCTATCTATCTATCTTTTCTTTCCCTCTCTCTCTTACACTCACTTTCTCCCTCCCTCCCTCCCTCC